CTCACCCTGGCTGGTCGCCTGGACCCCAGGGGTTCATGCCACAGGACCATCTCAAGCGAACATCTCAGCGAAAGCCCCCTCTGCGCCCTTTTGGGTGGGGTTTGGTCATGACGATCTGTTCTTCTGAGGAACTTCTGCTGTGACTAAACCACTGTTTCTTTTACGTTGGCAGCTGTCTGTTGAACCAGCCTCCTATCAAAGGCCATTTGAGGAAACTCAGACTGACGGAATTCTGCGTGAGTGAGTGAAAGCTCCTCTCTCTTACCATGTAGAGTAAGTAGTAACAGATTCTACTACACACAGGTGTCTTATGACACTGAAGAGTCACCAACGACGAACCGCCCGCCCAGGGGGCTCTGCGAGCCCAAGAGGGTCCACAGTTGCCTCCTGATTGTGCAGTGGTGAAAGGAACAGGAGGGCGTGAGCACCATTTACCAGGACCGCCTTCTCCCCTCATGCTGCTTGCTTCCCAAAGCTTCAGGGCTGATGCAAACGGTGAGTTTTCTTCGAAAAATTGATAACAAAGTATGTTCCATGAGTCTTTCTTCTATGTGTTATATATACTTTAAAACATTTAGTTGACAAATAAAGATTGTATATATTCAAGGTGTCAAATGTAATCATTTGATATATGTATACATTGTGTAATGATTATCCCAATCAAATGAATGAACACACCATCACGACCGCTCCTGTACAGTAAATCCCAGCACTTCTTTACCTTGTAACTGAAAGTTCTCTGTACCCTCTGCTCACCATCTCATTCCCACACCCTCCAGCCTCTGGCGACCACCATCCTAGTCTGTTTCTATGAGTTTGACTTTCGAGTCTGCATGGAAGTAAGATTTAACAGCATTGTATTTTTGTGTCTGGCTTAATTTAACTTAGCCTAAAGTCTCCAAGATCATCTGTGCTGTCACAAACAACAGGATTCCCTTGTTTCTATCTGGCTGCAAAGTGGTCCATTGTGTATATAGACTACGATTTCTTTATCCATTCATCTGCCGATGGACGTTTAGTTGTTTCCCTATCTTAGCTATTGTGACTAATGCTGCAATGAACATGAGGGTGCAGACATCTCTTCGACATATTGATTTCATTTCTTTTGGATAAATACACAGAAGTGACATGGCTGGATCATATGGTAGTTCTGGTTTCAGTGTTTTGAGAAATCTTTATAATGGCTGCATTAATTTATATTCCCACCAACAGTGTACAACAGTGTGCAACAGTGTCACCTCCAGCACCTATTATCTCTTGTCTTTGCCAGAGTAACAGGTGTGAGGTGACACCTCATTGTGGTTTGGATTTGCACTTCTCTGATGATTAGCGATGTTGAGTATTTTTTTATATGCTTGTTAGCCATTTGCATATCTTCTTTGGAAAAAATGTCTATTCAGGTCCTTTGTCCATTTTCAAAGTTGGGTTACTTTTGTTTGTTTCTGTTTTTTTTTGCTACTGAGTTGTATGAGTTCCTTATATATTTTGCAGGTTAACCCCCTTATCAGATATGTGCAAATATTTTCTCCCATTCCATAGATTGCCTTCTCATTTTGTTGTTTCTTTTGCTGAGCAGAAAATTTGTAGTTTAATGAAATCCCAATTGTTTATTGTTTTCTTTTGTTGCCTATGCATTTGGTGTCACAGGCAAAAAATCATTGCCAGGACCAATGCCATGAAGCTTTTCTTCTGTGTTCTAAGAGTCTTATGGTTTCGAATCTTACACTTAAGTCTTCAATCCATTTTGAGTTGATTTTTGTGTATGGTGTGAGATAAAGGTCCAGTTCCATTCTTCTGCATATGGATATCTAGTTTTCCCATTGTTATTTATTGAAGAGACTGTCCTTTCCCATTTGTTCTTGGCACCTTTGTTGAAAGTCAATTGGCTATAAGTGTGTGAATTGATTTCTGGGCTTTCCATTCTGTTCCATTGGTCTAAACGTCTGTTTTTATGCCAGTACCCTATTTTGGTTACTATAGTTTTATAGTATATTTTGAAGTCAGGTAGTATGATGCCACCAGCTTTGTTCCTCTTTTTCAAGGTTGCTTTTGCTATTTGGGGTCTTCTGTGATTCTATATAAATTTTAGGATTTTTTTTCTATCTGTGAAAAATGCCATTGATATTTTGATAGGAATTACACTGAATCTGTAGATCACCTCGGGTACTATGGATACTGTAAAAATATTAATTCTTTCAATCCATGAACGTGGGATAACTTTACATTTGTATCTTCCTTTCCATCAATGTCTTACAGTTTTTGGTATATAGATCTTTCATCTCCTTGGTTAAATGTATTCCTAAGTATTTTATTCTTTTTGATGCTATTGTAAATAAAATCATTTTAATTTCTTATTGGGTAATTTATTTTTGGTGTATAGGAGTGCAACTAATTATTATGTGTTGATTTTGTATTCAAAATCTTTACTGAGTTCATTTAGTAAGTGAACTATTCATTAGTTCTGAGAGTATTTTGGTGGAGTTCTTTTGGGGTTTTCTATATGCAAGATCATGGCATTTGCAAACAGAAAATTTTGCTGTTTCCAAATTGGATGCCTTTTATTTCTTTCTTCCTTTTAATTTTTTTTTTTTTCTATTTGTTTTCCTTGGGGCAGATGTCATGGTATAATTGATGTAATAGAGGAACTTAAAGGTGGACATTCAGTGTGCAGAAAACTGATTATTGTTTTCCAACATCTGTTCTCCCTCTCCTACATAGAATTTTTAGGTAGGCATATTTTCATCCTCTCATACATTTGGATGTGGCCACCTGACTGTTTTCTGTAGAGTAGAGGCAAGGGGTCGAAACGTTCAATCGTGGCTTGTGTCTTTAGATGGAGGGATCATGTCTTGCCCTCTCTTTTCCTCCTTCCCACTGGCTGCTCCAGCAGGAGCTGGTGCAGAGATCTTGGCCTATGAGATAAAACTAAAAGGAAGAGGCTCATAATGGAAGGAATCCAGGTCCCAAATGATACAGGAGCCCCCACACCAGCCCTGAACTTGCTGCTCAGACTTCTGTGTGAAGAACAAATGCGTAAACCTTCACCCTGTGGAAGCCTTGATCATTTTGGTCACAGTAGCTTAGACTTATCCTCACTAATTAATACACTGTTGATTAAGGATCCTGAACATTTCTAGCATGACTTATCTGGCCCAGACACCAAAAAAATAACAAGAAAAGAATGAACTTGACTTTCTCTAAGTCACATGGAGGAGTTAACTGTTCTTCAGGTTAGAAGGGCTCACTCAGCTGACCCTCTTCCAGGTTAAGAATGTGGCACAACAAGTTCTGTCTTTTTCTACATCAGACAAGGTTACGGTGTTTTTCCCACTGGCCAACTTCCTGCTGTGGCCTGAACTTGATACAGGCCTGGCTTTTGCTTTTGGCCATAGGGAAAAGGCTCCCAAAGCAGCATCTCCTGGAACTATTTGTTGACGAATGCAAAGACCCCTGAGGGAGATCTGGGTTACCCAAGCATGTGAAATGATTGCTATCAAATTGACTTTTTTTAGGATAAGCCTCCCTGAGAGGACTAGTTGTAGGGCTTAGGGAGGACTTGGGGGGTGGGAGCAGGAACAGGAGAACCTCTACTGCTGACCCCAGGGCAGGCGCCCGGGGAGCAGAGGTATTCCAATTTCTTCCCTCCTTTCTAGTAAGTGCTGGGCATGAGAGGTCTGAGCAATGGCACCTCTTTTTCCCATCCAAGTTCTGACCTATGAGTCAAAATAGTCAGCAAAGTGGACTGTAATTAATTAAGCTGATATTTTAAAGCACGGATTGTACGTGTAGGTAATCCTATGCTGATTCCCAGAATGAGGCAGCCTCCCACTGCAGCCCTGGAGGGACAAAGCAGAATGCCCCCTCATGGACAGCTTCCTGCAGCCGGCCTGTGCTCGTGGAAGCATGGTGGCCAGCAGCGTCCGGAAGCCAGCAGTTCCCTTGACGCCCTCCTGGGGAAGTCTCATCATGCAGTGCCTTCAGCAAGCCACCTCCCTGTGCACAACTTCCCTGGCACCCCTGGAAGGCATATTCCAGCAAGTTCTCCACAGGGACTTCTCTGCCGGGCACTGCGCCGGGGCCACGCTGTCTCCAACAAGGTCTGGACTTAGCCCTGAGGAGTAGCTCTTCCTCGGGCTCTCTGTCCCAGGAGTCTTGGCTGCTCCCTACGTTTGCCCTTCCAACTCTTGGATTCTACAGGTGTTTGACTATCAGTCTTATCTCTAACCTTCAGGATCTGGAAGCGACATCATTTTTGTATTGATTGGGTCCAGGGAGAAATGCTGAGATACCATGTCACACCCACTAGAATGGCACTATCAGAAAGATTACAGGTGTTGTTGAGGGTGTGGAGAAATCAGAATCCTGGTACACTGCTGGCGGGAATGTCAAATGGTGCAGCTGCTTTGGACAACAGTCTAGCAGTTCCCCAAACAGCTACAATTGGAATTCCTGTATTGCCCAGCAATTCCTCTCCTAGGCATATACCCAAGAGAAATGAGGAGCTGTGTCCACACAAAAACTGGGACATGAATGTTCACAGCAGCATTATTCATAATAGACAGAGTAGAGACAATCCAAATGTCCACCAACTTATGGATGGATAAGCAAAATGTGGTCTATACTTAAAATCAACACTACTCAGCTATAAGAAGGAATGAAGTACTAACGCATGGGACACCATGGATGAACCTTGAAAACGTTCTTCTGAGTGAAGGAAGTCAGACACAAAGACCACATATTAGGCCAGGCATGGTAGCTTCGGAGAATTGCTTGAGGCCAGGAGTTTGAGACCAGCCTGGGTCATATAGCAAGACCCCGTCTCTACAAAAAATTTAAAAATTAGCTGGGCACAGTCACGCACCCTGTAGTCCCAGCTCCCTGGAAGGCTGGAGGATCACTTGAACCCAGGAGGTTGAGGCTGCAGTGAGCCAAGATGGTGCCACTGCACTCCAGCTGGGTGACAGAGCAAAACATTGTTTCTTAAAAACAAACAAACAGGCCGCTCCTGGTGCTGCTTGTGTGCTCGTTTGGTGCGGACCTGGTACCTCTTTTGTGAAGCGGCAGCTGAGGAGACTCCGGCGCTCGCCATGGCCGACGAAAAGCCCAAGGAAGGAGTCAAGACTGAGAACAACGATCATATTAATTTGAAGGTGGCGGGGCAGGATGGTTCTGTGGTGCAGTTTAAGATTAAGAGGCATACACCACTTAGTAAACTAATGAAAGCCTATTGTGAACGACAGGGATTGTCAATGAGGCAGATCAGATTCCGATTCGACGGGCAACCAATCAATGAAACAGACACACCTGCACAGTTGGAAATGGAGGATGAAGATACAATTGATGTGTTCCAACAGCAGACGGGAGGTGTCTACTGAAAAGGGAACCTGCTTCTTTACTCCAGAACTCTGTTCTTTAAAGACCAAGATTACATTCTCAATTAGAAAACTGCAATTTGGTTCCACCACATCCTGACTACTACCGTATAGTTTTCTCTATTCTTTCATTTCCCCCTTCCCCATTCCTTTATTGTACATAAAGTAACTGGTATATGTGCACAAGTATATTGCATTTTTTTTTTTTTTAACTAAACAGCCAATGGTATGTTTTAATTGACATCAAGTGGAGACGGGATGGGGAAAAATACTGTTTCTGTGAAAATACCCCCTTTCTCCATTAGTGGCATGCTCATTCAGCTCTTATCTTTATATTCCAGTAAGTTATTTTGCTCTCACTGTTTTAACAAAAACACACAACATAAAAATCCTTGCATACCTTGTTCAATTGGAGAATTTTAATGTTTTTCATTTATCATTGTAAAACCAAGGACAATTTTATAACTTTTTTGTACGTAGCTGTTACATGTAGGGCAATCTGTCTTTAAGTAGGGATAAATTACTCTAAAACAAAAAAGAATCTTAGATAGTTTTCCCTTCAAGTCAAGCGTCTTGTTGTTTAAATAAACTTCTTGTTTAAAATGAAAAAAAAAAAAAAAAAACAAACAAACAAAAACTAAAGGCCATATATTGCATAATTCCATGTATATGAAAGTCCAGGCCAGGTGCAGTGGCTTATGCCTGTAATCCCAGCACTTTGGGAGGCAGAGGTGGGCAGATCACCTGAGGTTGGGAGTTCGAGACCAGCGTGACCAACATGGTGAAACCTCGTCTCTACTAAAAAATACAAAAATTAGCCAGGCATGGTGGCGCATGCCTATTATCCCAGCTACTCAGGAGGCTGAGGCAGGATAATCATTTGAACCCAGGAGGCGGAGGTTGCAGTGAGCCAAGATCACGCTGTTGCATGCCAGCCTGGGTGACAGACCCAGATTCCATCTCAAAAAAAAGAAAAGAAAAGAAAAGAAAAAAGGAAGTCCATAGAGACAGAAAGTAGATGAGTGGATGCTTGGGACTGAGGGAGACAGGGCGATTGTGTGGGGGAGGTGATAGGTTACAGGTACTGGGTTTCTTTTGGAGGCAAAAACATTTTGAAAATGTTTTGAAATCAACTGGAGATGGTTGTGCAACTCTGTGACTATACGAGAAGCCACTGAATTGTTCACACTAAACAGGTGGATTGTTTGGTCTATGAATTGCACCTTTACCAAAGCTGTCAACAAGAAATCACATGGGGGAAACCAGAAGGAGAAATACCGAGACCTCAGTGGGAAAGGCGGGAGGCCAAGTGCACACCAGGAACAACTGGCCTCCTGCCACAGAGGGGAGGCCATGAGTGTCCCCCAGCAAGGGGAGGGGAAGGGGGGAGGCCTGGGTCCCAAGGCTGCCTCCCAGGAGCCGAGTGACGGCAGGCCACCACACGGCTCTCAGGCCTTTCCCCTCTATGGCACACGGACGAAGCCTCCTGTTTCACTGGGATGCAATGAAACATTAGACAAACATCTTTAAAGCCCTTTGTAACATGAATTATATAAATAGCAATGAATGAATCCTTTGGGAGGAACTCTAACTCCCCCTAAAGGTACTGTCAATCATTTTTTAAAGGGAAATGATCCCTAAAATTGGTAGCTCCTTACTTGGGTGACGTAGTAGCAATTTTCCTCTCCAATATCAGGCAGCAGATATTTACTTTCTCACATTTTTCCATTTAATACAATTTCTTGCAACTGTTAGGCCAGTAAATAGTATGGACATAAATCTATGGTTGCTCTTCTAGAAATATTCAAATAATTCATTTGTGAATCTGCAGACCACCGTTGGATTCATGGACACTTTTCAAGGCATTTAGTCTTTTCAGTAAATAAAATAGTTTAGTAATGTAATGTTTAGAGGGCCAAGTGGCTGCAATTTTCAATGCCTCTTGATGTATGAAACACCTTTCTCTAAAGGACCTAAGATGTATCTGCTTTTTGAATAAAACTTAGAAGTGACACTTAGAGAAAGTCTTTTGTTTTTAATAAATTTCAATATTCCTATCATGTACCATATTGCAGTAGTCTGAAAAAAACTTTAGACTTGCTTTAAAAAAAACTGGTCCCAGATTACACAGGCTGAAACAGTATCTATTTACCATGCCTGTTTCCCACTTGAGAAGATCCAGCTTCATGCATGAGTGGGAACAGTTCTTCATTTTTTGCAAAGGGGTCACAGGGTCATTTCTGTCTTCATAACCTCTCCGCAAAAGTGGTTTGTGCTCTTCTGACACAGGAGGACGTGGAGGCTCAAGTTCACAGAACCAGCAGTTAGTCAGGCCCATTAGGTCCAGGGTTTTACAAAACTGTTGTTTACATCAAAACAGCTAGTGGCACGCCAGCTCAGCTTCTCACATGCGGCAGTCTGGATGTGTGAAAACATCCATGCCACCCCACTGAGGCATTTGTCTGATCATGGGCCGGGCTTGGGCCGGGTGCTGGGAACGTGGAGCTGTCGAGATGGCCCTTGTGCTCCTGGAGATTCCACCAGGGACTGAGCTTGCAGAGATGCAGGTGAGCATTGGCACTTTCCCCAGGAGTCATCAGCCTTCTAGTAGAACACCACTGTGATTTCCTCCAGATCACCCTCCCCTAGCACTTCCAGAGGTGACGACCTCCCACTTACTTCAAGGGAACCTGACTGCCCTGAGCCACGCAAGGTGCTGCAGGTTTTAGCACGGTGACTGCCGTAGGCTGCTTTTTGCTGCTATAACACGATGCCCAAGACTAGGTAACTTACAATGAGCAGAGATGTATTGGCTCATGGTTTGGGAGGCTGGGAGGTCTGAGGTGGAGGGGCCAGGACCTGGCGAGGGCCTTCTGGCTGTGTCATCCCACAACACAAGGGCTCAGAGAAGGGTAGAGAGAGCAAGAGGAGGCCAAACAAGCCTTGTTGTAAAGAGCCCACTCCTACAATAACAGCATTCACCCATCAGGAGGACAGGACCCTCATGGCCTGACCAGTTCAAGGTCCTGCCTCTTAATATGTTACAATGGCTATTAAGTTTCAACACGAGTTTGGGAGGAACCAGACATTCAAACCGTAGCACCTCTCAGCGTGGGTTCCTGCCGATGCGGGCCCATATGCAGCTCGCATGCACGAGACACCAGCAGCTATTCTTAGGATTTCTGGGGGAAGACCATGCAGTTCTTCTTGCAGGATTAGAATCTGAAAGAAGGCATTTCTCACAGTTCTGATGGAGGAGTTGAGAGTTGGAGCCACAAGCCCAGATAGCACTGAGTGCTGGGTCCAGCCGTACCTGAAGCCGCTACCCTTGTCTTCTTTTTTTGTTTTTACTTTGAAATGACAGGAGACTTAGAAGATGCAACAGTCATAGAGGGTCCCCAGACACACTTCGCCCAGCTGACCTCTTAAGCAGCCACAGCACAGGGATCAAAACTAAGAGATTAACATCCGCGTAAAACCAACTACAGATTTTCCTCACGTTTCATCCGTTTGTGTTTGTCTGATGTTTTTTCACAATGAGTGTGATGTTCCCAGAACTGACACGTCCTCCTCAGGGCGTGGTGTCAGGAGTGCCTGGTGTGGATGTGTCATTACTGCTCAAGTTCATTTTGATCTGAGGGTGGCACCTGCCAGGTCTCTCCACTGTGAAGTTCCTGTTTTTTTTTTTTTTTCCTTGGGAGGTGCTTTCAAGCTATGCAAATATCCCGTTCCTTAAACCGCCTACCAATTTGCGAGTGTGTCAGGGGTCTCACCTGCAGCAGCAGCTGCTCCAGCTTGGATCTCCCACTTCCCTCCTACATGAGCGGAGATTCTTCATCAAGGGGCACTGCTCCTTCTCACCCACTTTGTCGCTTTATTTATTTATATTAGTATGAACTCACAGATTATTTATTCCGTGGTAAAAATCCAACATTACTGCTATTTTCTCACTCCAGTTGCTCCCCTGGGCCCCTGCGAGCTCTTCCAGGCTGGCTCCTGTGTTCTTGGACGCAGCCCCGTGCCCTCAGGGCACATCCTTACGTTCTGATGTGAGAGGGTCCGGGCTCATCTTGCATTTCTCCTCTCCAGCCCTGGAACCAACCACTTCAAGGAGCCTTTTCCTTTTATTGAGTTTATTCTGTTCTTTTATGTGAACTGGGCCAATCAACTCTTTGTTTAAGCCAGGTGGACTTCCTGTGGCCCCACAGCCGTAAGGAGCAGGGACAGGGACACTTCTTGGAACATGCAGGGGGCCATGAGTGAGCCTCCACTTGTGTGGACGAGGGAGGGAGTGCTCGCCTGGGAAGACCTGGGTTCTGTTTTCTGGGTCCTGCCTGCTGTCCCCTGCCCTGAGCTGACAACATCAACCAGACCCCACTTAATAAGCATGTTGTGCACGCCGCGAGCAACTCAGATGGAGCGATTCTTTTAGAGGTGTCATGTTTACTTTTTATTTAGGAGTACAAACTGACACAAAATCATCCTTCCAGTTAGGTGAGGTTTTGAGGGATCATACTAAAGAGAAGACAGGGAAACGCCAGTAATGGTGAAGGTCTTGAGAAAAGGACAGGACCCGCAGATAGCGAGAGATCAGAGGAGGCCCTGACTTCTCTCCTCATTTCCTTTCCATATATCCCAAATGTGCAATGCATCACCTGAGACAGAAGGCAGAAAGCATCAAACTCTCTGTTTATCCCAATTCAATGACAACCAGAATTTTTTTTTTTTTGAGATGGGGTCTTGTTCTGTCGCCCAGGCTGGAGTGCAGTGGGGCAGTCACGGCTCATTGCAGCCTCCAACTCTCAGTCTCAAGCAACCCTCCTACATCAGTGTCCTGAGTAGCTGGGACTACAGGCGTGCACCACCACACCTGGCTCATTTTTTTAAAAACTTCTTGTAGACGGGGTCTCGCTACATTGCCCAGACTTGAGTGCAGTGGTGCAATCATAGCTCACTGCAAGCTCAAACTCTTGGTCTCGAGCGATCCTCCTGCCTCGGCCTTCTGAGTGGCTGGGACTACAGGCATACACCATCATGTCTGGTTCATTTCTTAAACTTTTTGTAGAGACAGAGTCTTGTTTTGTTGCCTAGGCTGGTCTCAGACTCCTGGCCTCAAGTGATCCTCCTGCCTTGGCCTCCTAAAGTGCTGGGATTATAGGTGTGAACTGTGGTACCCAGTCAACAACCAGAACTTTCTGCAGACCTTGTGCTTTTGGACCTTGGGTATTTTCTGCAGGTCAAGCCATCCTGACCACTCCGAGAACTTACCCAGGGTGACTCAGCTGTCACTCTAGGTCACTCATAAGCCCATCGGGTAGCTCTACCCATGGACAGCTGGATACACTTGTGTCTGTTCTCTGAAGTCGTAGATGACCTGACAAGAGGGAAAGGAAAGAGGGAACCTCCACTTCCCTGGGCAAGTCGGAAAAGGGTGAGGTGAGGGCAGGATTCCTTCTCGTTGGAGGCGACACACAGGAGGCCGGGCCTAGTCCTTCAGCTGGGAGACCTCATAGAGGTACGCGGCGAGCATCTTGGTTCCCTCTATGTAGTTATGCCTGGTAAAGAGGAACACATGGTCGTGTCAGCTGGTGTTG